AATAGTATTTATAATAGTGTACAGAGTATGAAAATTATGAGTGTTCAGTGTATGACATGATCTTACAAGTTGAAACAAAGAAACTACGCAAAAACAAAAAATTAAAAATGTACTAAAGAAAAAAGTAGCTAAAAGGTGTTTATAGCAGCCTATGAAATGAATCAAAGCTAAATTATTGCAAAGTAAAGTAAATGTTATGTTGTAATGAAGACAAACTTAGCTGATTATGCAGAAACATCTGAATGTGTATTCACAAAGTGATAAACATATTGTATTGAATGAACTGCGGATGTGTACTTTAGACCTAAATAAAACAAGAAAGCCTATAGCAATTGTACTTAGTGTAATGTAGTGTTGCTTGTATGAAATACTTTGCAAATAAAAAAACTAAAGTTGATATCAGAGCCCGTTGTCACAACACTGCCATTATATTATGTATGTAACCTGGGCTCCTTGGACAAAGGCCTTTCTAACAATGTGAAATTTGTAGCATTTGACCAAGAGATTTGCAAGAGAAGTTCTGGACAGATACACAAATGTATAATTTTTATAGATTGTTAATAATAATAATAAAGACATAAAGAAAGGTCTACTTCGCCAAAATGCTTGGTTGTTAAGCTTTCTTATTTTTTTATTTAGTACATCTGTATATTTATTGTTTTTATATTGTCATGAAGATAGTGTAATTTGCTGAAACAGATAATGATAAAATCAAATTTTCTGATAACTTCATCATAAAAACGAAAAAAATTCAGTTCCAAGTACAACTCATCTCGTCACACATTAGTTATCTTCCTCGGGCAACTGTTATAAGAAGTGCGCCACTGCCTGATGATGTCATCATGCAACAAAAGCCTCCTCTAATAGGAAGGCAACATACCTACAAGTGCACTAACTCCCCCTTATACATATGCACCCATGAATCTTAATTCTTTTCCTTGGCAATGTAGAACACATACAAGTTCAAATTTCACACCTTTGTTCAATTTATTAAGATATGTTTTTGTTTCAAAAGCTTTCACATTTTTATCATGAATTTTCAACTGACAGTGATTTAAACTTTGTCCTTGAGCGTGGGACATTGTTTACACTTAGGCCTTATTTCTGCTGTGGCCTTTAGAGACTCATTAACTGTCAAGGTCATTGCAGCCATTGTTCAATGTGTATTGGATTATGACATGTTTAAACCTTTAAGTTCTTAATTTTATAAGGAGGTATTAAAAATAAATTCCTGAATATCCCCTAGTATGAAAATTGTGATATTTGCTCTCGAGGTCTTCTCTCATTTCAATTTATTACTATCCCTCTAAGTAGTATGGATGTTAATGTAAATTACCCATTATGATGCAGTTATTGCTCAGGCGAAGCATAATTTATATAGTCTTCAATCTTATTTGGTTACGGAGCCATAAACTAGAAAATCAGACCCTTCTTACAACACCCACCTGTCACATCCTCTCTTTCACAAATTGCAAATAGTTCTATCTGACATTTAATACTATATTATTTATAATCAATAGAAAGCCAATGTTTTAATCTATCAATTGATGTGTTATATTAAGTTAATTTCTGTACAGAGAATTGTCTATTTTGCTTTCAGTTCAGTCTTTATTTTGATAGGAATCATATTGATAGACCCAGGAGCCATTCATTTGGTATAAAATCAATGGCTGAATGGCTCAACACATAGCAATAAAAATTTTGTGCTTTATAAAATTACAAAAGCACTTTAGAGATAATTATATATTCATCATAAGGAGAGAAATAAATTAAGACTGACAAAAATTGTTCCATGCTGCACAGAATAATAAACTTTATCAGATATTATAGTACATAAGTAACAAATATGCATAAAATTTATTGTATTATTGCCTTTAGCATAGACCAACTGAAACACAATTAAAAACTGTCATTAATTGAAAATGTTGCTATTACATTTCTAATAATTAAGAGACTAGTACCTTTGTCCACAAAACAACAAAATAATTGAAATTCTGAAATATACTTATTAGTATTAGCATTCATTAATAATCTAAGCACTTTTAAACTAATATAGTATATTACAAGCCTGGTTCAAGACATCAATGAGGGAGATTTATCTAACCTTCACCAGCTAGTGTATTTTTTACTAGGTTTATTATGTCATGTATGAATGACACTGTATTCATAATCATTGGGTGGAGTGAACTCCTTTTTGTGTTCATGATGACACCTATAGCTGAGAATATGTTCTCAACTGGTACACTTGCTTTCATGTTTATGATGAGACCTCTAGTTGAGAATATGTTTCCAACTGGTACCCCTGTGCAAGAGTACCAGTTGGAAACATGTTCTCAACTAGAGGTCTCATAATGAACATAAAAGCAATTGTACCAGTTGGAAACAAGTTCTCAACTAGAGGTCTCATAATGAACATAAAAGCAAGTAATAGACAAGTATTATTTTACTGTACTGGCTAACCTTGGATAATTACATGCATTATTTTTCCATTAGAGCAATGTGTTTGCCTGCTCACCTTTACTAGGCTGGTGCAATTGATCCTGCAATATTTCACATCTAAGCCTATCAGGATCTAAGGTGTTCTCACCCATCAGTGAATTTAGTAATTTAATTTTCTTTGATGTAGAACCAGACTCTGAATCAGTATTTAAAGATGAAGCAACCACATCTTGTATGGTTGGATATACATGTTCCAAAAGGGATTCAACTACCTCTTTCTTGGGTATTAGACAATTAACTGCAGGGTCCAGGGCACATGCCACTTTTGTAACTTCTGATAATTTAAAGTGAGAGTCTATTTTAGGGGTTATCACTTTTTTTTGAGGAATTCAGTTGCTGGATTATCCTCTTGCTCTATTTCAGCCTTTATTAGTGGGATAACTGCCAGACCGTTTCCTGCATCACTCACCATTTCTGTGAGCTCATGAAATGGTCTAAGGAAACTGACTAGACTTTCCATCAAGTACACTTCTTCAGCATACATTACTAGGTCATACTTTCCTATTTTTTTCAGCATGTTCATGCATGACTATTTTAATGAAAGTATATATTGCAGCATATTAAGAGCACTATTCCACCTCATACAAATCTGCATTTCAGACTTTTGTGACTGTGAGGTGACCTTAACTCACCTGAACTACCTTTATCCAGACCAGAGTCTTCCTGATCAGCCTCTTGTTCAAATGGAAACTGTTCATCAAGCTGCATAACATTGCAAGCTTCTGAAATACATTGAAATATTTCAAGGTCTTCTCTGAACATAGTGTCCTGGCTGATTGAGTAGGACTTGTAATGTAGAGCACTCACAATATTTCTAGCTTTAGTAAGTAACTCAGTAAGTAGTAAGTGCAAACAATGAGTAACACAATGCTGTGGTTCTTAAATACTTAAAAGTCTTAATGTTTTCACGACATTTGCTGCACCATCAGTTACAGCATGCAATTTTACCAAAAAAGTCAAAGATAATTTCTTCTAGGTTTTCTTTCGTATTTACAGCAGTGTGGCCCTGTAGTGGCATACAGCTAAGTGCGAAAATATTAACTTCTCAATCCAACATGACTGCAACCCGCACTCTTAGGAAAGGCATATTTTTTATACATGTCTGTCCACCCATCAAACATAATAGTGGCAACTTCGATCTTGATTAGCTGATATGCTGCTTAATTGTTTTATACATATCCACAAGCAGAACCTTTCTCAATGTTGACCTGTCTGGCAAATGAATACCAAAATTGTTTTCTGTGGATTTTCTGAACCCTGTTTTTGCCACATTGCTGAACGGTAACAAGTCTTTACTTAGCCAGGGAATAAGGTCTCTGTTCAAGTCATATTCTGAGTATGCTACAGTAGATTTAAACTGGCTGTAATTTATGAGTGTTGATTTGGTTCTTTGCTATTCTTTCTGTGTCTGTCTATTCTATGCTTCTTAAAGAGATGAATTTTCATGTTGCCAGTTCCTGTTCCTTCCTGAAGCCTATGGTACTAGATATGTGAGCCAATTTATTTGACTTCAGTTGTTCATACTCACCTGTTAAACATGGTTGACAGTAATACACATCTTTCTCCACTGTATGACCATTTTCTTCCACCAACAGTCCATAATACTGCCAAACTTTGCTAGGTTGCTTTACCTTACTTGGATCTGGTATAATTTTGTATGTTATTAATTTGGCATTTTGGCAAATTAACTGGCACATTGCTGTTTTATTAAGTTAATTTAATAATTTCATCAAAGTAATATGCAGTAGTTTTTTAAGAATTTAGATATATCCACTTAAATAGTCAGTGGCAGAATGTATTAAAATAGTATTATTTCTTTGACAAATAAACATCAAAATGATAGATTTTATGAAATATTTTTATCCTTTATTATTATTTATATTACATTATTTTAATAAGATTTATTTCATATTATACTAGTGTAATACCCATCAAAAATGGCTGGAGAAGGAAATGCATAGATGGATTGTGAATGATTGATAAATTTTGGACAAAAAGTAATTTTTCATCAATAATATTCTTAAGTAGAACATTTCTTGTGACTTGTGAGTGTAAGTCATTGCGTACAATAAATAGATATGCTACTTATTATGAGAGTTGTTCTGATTTTGCAATGGTCAACCATTAATAGACTTATTGATTGTATAGGGAAGGAAAAGAGGAAGGAGGTGGTGAAAAACAAGAACCAGGAGATAACTTGTCCCAAGAGGAATGGGAAGAGCAGGAGAAAAAAAAAGCTGAAGAAGAGGTTCATTGTCAGGAGGAATTTCATAAAAAAGAGAGAAAGCTGGTCTCACTAATTCACCAACTCCACAGTAAAAGTCACATAGTTCCTTTAGGTCAAGATCGTGCATATAGAAGATTTTGGTGTTTTAGCATTGTCCCTGGTCTTTTCGTTGAGGACAATGACCCATATGTTGGTACCTGTCAGGCTCAACCAACTCAGTATAATCCTAATTCTAATCCTATGGTCTCTAAGAATGAAGTGTCTGCTTCACTGTTGAAAAAATTCTTTCAACAAACAAGTGATAATAAGATCATCAGTAGTGACAATAAGAGTGAAATTGAAAAAACATCACAAATTGAAACACCTTGTGGTTTAGTGAAGATCAATAAACTATCAGAAGAATCTAACTTAAGAGGTGGGGTCTTGGAGAAGCAACTCATAAATTTTGAAGTTAGTCTTTCTACAAGGGAGAATGAAAGTACTAAGAAAAGCCCAACAGAAGCTGTTACATCTAATTCATCAAGTATAGTTACATCTCCTGTGTTTGGTATATGTACTGCTTGTCCTGATACTTGTCCTGTACATAACTTAACCCTACCTAGAACCACGTGGTCATTTTATACAAAACCAGAAGATCTGGATGAATTAATTAGCAGTCTAAATCCTCGTGGCTTTAGAGAAAGATTACTACAGAAAACACTGAAGGTTGACAGAAAATATCTGGCAGAGCAGATTGATAAATGTCCCAGTCACAAACTTAATAAAAATATTTTACCACCAGCACAACCAGAAGCTAGAAAATCACAAAGACTTCAGTATAATAAGCCATCACAATATGCAGAAATGTCCCCTGAAGATGCCTTAGAACTAACCCTGAGAGATATGCTTCTAGAAATGGAAGATAAGCTGAATGCTGGAAGTTTAGGTAATATCAAGGTAAGAATATTTTGTTTATAAACTTGTTTTTTTACTATACATTTTCATTTTTATCTTGCACTTTTAACTTGTAGGAATTGTTTTCTGTAAAATGATCTATGAGTGGTGAAATAAGAAATGTTTACTTTAATAGGTGAAAGACAAAGAGGCTTGGAGACAAGCAATTGAAAATAGGAGCTATGATATGCAATGTGATGGACTACACTGGGGGTGTAAAAACAATAGGTGAGGAACAAATAAAAAGTAAAAAAGTATATGCTGTTAGGTACATATAAATATTCTACATTGTAAAGAAAGCTTCTAAGGTTGTGTTGAACACATAGATTTAAAAACCCTAAATATGTGTACAAGTAATACTATGCGAGTTACACTGCAGCTGAAAGAAAGGTTAATATTTTTGTTGTTTTTGAAAAATTGAATGTTAGGATTACCAACACTTGTCTGATAATAGGTACTAGCCATGTTGGAGGCTTTCATCATAACTAATACTTTCTGATATGTTTATTCTAGGTTTTTAAAATGAGCTAACATAACAGTTCATATTCCTGTGTAAACAGTAGTATTTGGGTAGCCACACATACATGTACATATATACATATAGTTTTTAATTATAACTATACTACTGTAGTAGTGTTTAATGACAGCCGTTAATAGTTTTTTCATTTCATAATTATGTTGGTTTAATGACAGTGTTGAAAAGTTTGTATTCTTGAACATTATTATTATTACATATTTTCATGTTGACCAATTTTTCTAAGGCTACTGGATGAACCATCACTAACATTGGTCAGCTCAAGTATGGATGACAAAATGTCTGAACTCTCAACATCTCTGACACAAGCACCAGTTTCTTCTGTTGTTAAAGATCTTTCATGTGCCTTGTTACAGATAGCTCAGTCTGTAGAGCCAAGGTACCTTCAGCCACCACTAGGTAAGAAACATTTTAGCAATTAATTAAATCTTAAAAGTGAGTATTGGATATAATAAATGAGTTAAAGATACAAGTTACAGAATTAAGAGTGGTTGTATCTCAGTACTTAGATTTATAGAAGAAACTGTATGATATTTAACTTCCTGAATACTTGTAATAGTTTGTATATTTTTGGCACGGAACAAGAGTTATTTCCTTTCTTTTTCTAATATACTTTCGTGACAGTGTATTTTTACCAAGAAAACACATTTTCTCTGAATAGTTAGTTCTTCAGTTGAATACCACACTATTTTATACAAAGTGCAAATATTAAATTGTTTAAATTTTGGTTCAAGTGTTCAATCTTTGATTTTGAGATACAAGAAGCTAGAAAAACCAATTGGTGCTTAGTCAAAAAGCATACTGTTTATTTTGGTAGATCATCATGTAGTTGTGGGTATGCTAGAACTCTGTATTATAGCTCATACAATATCTAAAGTAGTTAAGTCAAAAAATCATTAATAGGAACAATTCACCCACTTAATTTTAGCTTTTTAACAAAATATTCATTATTCTTTATTAGCATGATATTATATAATGTGTGAAATTTCATCACTTTACATTCAACATCAATTTAACTTACTCCTTTGTTGAATGATTTTCTTGAGCCAGAAGAGTTTTTCTTGATGAAGAATTTAATTTATATAGCTTGATCTAACAGAGTTATCAGTAACATACCATCAGTCTTTTGACTTGGATAGGGTAGAATTGCTGAAGCAATGGCTACTAGCTCTCCTTTAAGGTTTTCGTAATTCTAATTTTGATTACAATGTTTCAGAAAAAAATCATTTAGCTTTAGAAATTAAAACTGTTAACAAACTCTTGATTAATATGTTACCTGTGGCTCAGGACTTCAATCCAAAGTTAATGTTCTAGTATTGTCTAACATTTCCATCCATGAACTAACCTAAAAAGAATGACATTGACTGTTAGTGTACAAGCTACTCTAGTTGCCAGCTTTGCTCATATTTAAAAACAAAATTCAATAATTTCTAGATGGAAGGTGAAGAATTTCATACATGAAACAATGGACTTTATACTTCACAAACAGCCAAATGTAGAATTTAGAGAATTTTTATTATTTGGTTTGATCTAGGTGAAGATGAAGAATTTAAACGGCAAAAACAAAAGGCTCTTTCAGAAATATCACATTGGAAAGCAAAACAAGAAAAAAATGGAGAAATTGGAAAAAATGAAGGTAAATTTATTATTTAATAAGAAGGAAAAAGAGAAATTTTAACCAATTTTGAAAACAATTTTTTTCTACACCTTTGTTAGGCCTTGTTTTATACATTATGAAAAAAATTAATATAGACAGAAGATGCAAGTTATTGTAAGTTTATTAATACTAACAATTTGTAGAAAAATATTTAAATCCAAGATGCCAAAAAATCACTTAATGATTGAAAACTTCCAAAATTTGATAAAGCCCATTATTAGTGTTTAAAATTGAGCTGGAAAACCTGAAAAATAATTCTCTTATCATAACAGATTAAGTATAAAGTTTAATCTTTCCTAAAATAATGAGTTTTTAAGGATTTTAATAAAGTATTTTATTGTCAGGTTATTTGAATTTCTTTGGAAATTGTTTAAGATGATAATAGTAAACGACTTTAGTGTATTTACCACCATTAGTTTAAACTCTTGCTATGTAAAGTTAATATTACCTATATATAGCAGTTTTATATATGGTATAACATTATGACATTAGTTAAGTTGCATTAGTTTTTGCTGTATTTATGTATGTTGTAACTTTCCTTCCTAAATATTATTAAACTTTCACAACTTTAATCGGGTTTACTTTTGTCTTTTACAGAAGATTTATTTATTACTTCCTTTTGCATGCTTCATGTATTTTGTTAAATGATAGAGGTTAGTCAAAGTCAGATTAGTTGTGTTAGACACACATCATAGTATGTTTAAGTTATTGTTTTTTTATTATTACATTTAACATTTTTATATTTTACTAAGAGTACTGTTATCTGAGCTATTTATTGTATAATTTATTTATTCATTTTATTTCTTAATTACTATTATCTATTATTTCATACCTTCGTAAACATTGTTTTTGGCTGTACTCTTCATGATATCCTTCTACTTGACTTCACACCTAAACGGTAACATGTAATAGTAATTTATCTCGTATGTCAGACTACACTAAAGTTACACTGTTGGAGCTGTTTAATTGGTTTTCATTAGTCACAAAACATTTTAAGGAGGATTGTGAAAGTTTTGCTTGTACACATTTTATCTTGGTTAAACCAGTTTATTTTGTTCAACAAACATTAAATCTTTGGCAGTTCTTGAAGTTGACATTTAGTGTTTGTGTGTTCTGTAAGTAAGGTGTACTCTATTATTTCTTTAATGATACCTTCATTAATGGTATTGGTGAGAATGTTTAAAAATATTTAGGCTTATTATTTTTGGTACCCAACTGATAAAACAATGTGTTCTGATCTTTGTAAGTAAGAAAAATGCATTTAATTAACTATACTCTTAATACAATATCTGATTTTATTTGTAAAATATTTTTGATTAATGTTACAATTTATTCTGTTTCCTCAGATAATTATGAGATTAACCCGCCAGTAAATATCCCTATGTCTCCACTGGAACGATGGACGGAATCTCTAATGACTTCATCCAGCATTTCTCAACTTTTTATTCACCTTTCCACTTTAGAGAAAAGCATAGCATGGTCACGTTCGGTATTAAAAGCCTATTGCCGTGTCTGTCGACGTCGAGGGGACCCTGAACTTATGTTTCTCTGTGATGGGTGTGACAGAGGGCATCACATCTACTGTTTAAAGCCACCACTAAAGGTAATATTGTTTTTCTAATTGATATGTGAGATGTAGGGAATTTTTTAATATTTTTTGAATGCCTTCAGTGATATGGTCCTGCAGTATGCAGGACCATGAAGAAAAAAAAAGATCAATCTGTACTGTGTTGAGCTTATTCGAAGTACTAGTGACTAAAGGTACAGAAAGTCACATTTTAACAACACATTCATACCATAGTATTTTAAAATATAAACATTTCAATCACTACAGGATAATAAAACATAAAAACAAAAAATATATCTCAATTTGTCACAAGCTTCTCCAGAAGAATATTATTCCATGTGTCAGTGAAATCAATATCGTTTGTGTACTCTTGAAAGCATGATAAATCATGTAAAATATGGATATTTTTATACATAAACGTATTTTTTGTATGTATTTTTTTATCTCTGCACTTAAGCTAAAAACAATTACAGGGGTTTGGTTAAGTTACTTCTGTGTGTATATTTCTCTCTCTTCTTAATGGCTGAAACTTCCCAAGTTATGGGATGTTCAAATAGATGATTTTTAATAAATGTAATAGCAACCTCAAGTCTGCTCGGATTCTTTGTTAATAATGTACAGATATTTAGTTGTTGCTTGCAGTTTTGATAAATGTGAAACACCATTTTTGCTGTTGTCTATCATCATTATTATTATTATACGACAGAAATTACAAATTATGTGAACAAACTTTTTAAAGATTGATAATTCACATGAATTTGTGGCAAACCTGTGGTCCTTACAAGACAACAGTCAGTAACATATCTTAACATAACTAACAAGTATTTAGTATGTGAGAAATAATCATTACAAGTAATGAGTGTCTAATTTTAACAATAAGAATGATTTCATTGTAAGTGTATTGAATTTCCACAATTGTCTTAGCTGACAGGTTTTATAATTCATATAATGCACATGAACAACTGAATTATATTCAGAACAGTTTTTGAAAATCTCAAACTTTAGTGCGTATCATTCACGAAACTTGTGCAACTCCATAAGTGTCTAGAAGCTATTATATATAATTATCTTTTATTGATTTTTGTTTGTTTGTTTCTTTCTTTCTTTTTTATAACTTGATCAAAATATAGCTAAACCAATAAAATGTTATCTATATATTCTTTCTACAGAAAAATAAATGGAATATTTTAATGAGACTTATAATTTTTTTATTGCCTTTAATTTTCCCAATAACTTGACAAAGGTGGAAGTTTTCCAGTGTACCTGACTGTGATGGGTCTCTTACTCAAACTTTTCTAGTTCCCAAAAACAGAAAGGAAAACAAAGAAAATGAGTTAAATCTCTCATGAACTGTATGCAGCAAAGGTTTTTGTGAAATGATATCTCAATTAAGGTGGATAGATAAATATAGACAAATAAAATTATTGATTATGTTTCACTGTTTACAATTGAAATCAATTGGAGACAGGAAAAATATACAAAATTGTTGTCATTTATTTGAGTCATTATGTGTTCATGAAAATACTTAGATTCTAGAATTTTCATCAATAAAGTTTACACTTTGCTCGTATCTTATGATTACTGCACGTCACTGGACTGTTTTGTTAGGATGCATGCAACTCATGTTGCTACAGTAGAACAGTCAAGAGTATGAGCCTTGTAGTAGCTCAGTGGTAAATGTGAAGATTCACAATGCTAAAAATTTGGTTTTGATACATAACCATGATTTGAATGGTTGTACTTAAAAACAAAACAAAACTCAAGAATATCAAGTACTTATGGAAAGAATATGTTTAAAAAATAATAATAAAGTACTTGTAATTTTATGTTTCAGCACAGTGATAAAATATTGGCAGATAATCTTGTGTATGCTTATACTATGCACAAGTTTCATTGGTGTACTGGTTTTTATCATTTGTAGTTGATTATTTTTGTAAGTTGTGTTTTTGTTGTTTTTTTAAATAAAGGATGTTTACAACATTTGAATGCAATCTCTTTCTTCCTTTTTTGTGATAGATTAATTTAGTAATATTTTATATCTGACAGGAAATTCCTGTTGGATATTGTTTCTGTCAAGACTGCAAACCCAAAGAAATAACTTCATTTCGTCGAAAACCAAGAGTTAATTACTGTGAAGATGAGGAAGACAGTGACTTGGATTGTGATAAATCATTTACAGCAACAGATGAAACTGATTACAGGTTTGTCAATGTCATGTACTTGGATTTTGGAAAACAGCTTAGAATTATTTTTTAATTGTTGTAAGTACTAGTACTTCTTGCACTTAAAAATGTTTTTGCTGTCATTCTGGGCCACTTGGTATTCATTTTCATTATCAATATAACTTGGTAGATATTCTATGAATTATAGTAAATATGTACAAAAAATGTCTCAAGAAATCTTGTTTTTTAGTGCATTTGATACTATATGAGTGATTTTAATGCTGTTACGTTTTTAAGTAACTATGATAGTAACAGTTGAAACCAATAATTATATTGTGCACAACTCTTACAGTGAAAATTCTAATGATGATGTATGTGAAGTTTGTCACAAGGATGGTACATTAATTTGCTGTGGCAACTGTCCCTTGGCCTATCATTTGGAATGTGTTAATCCACCAATCAAAAGAGTTCCACGTGGAGCATGGAGAGTCCACTAAAACAGCCAAAACAAGTTACTTTGTACAGACCAAAGGTCACATTTATGTTATTTGACACTGTAACACGACTGCATGTGAACCACATTGTTGTAACTTCTGTATTGTTAGCCAGGCACGGGTGAAAGGTCAAGATAATAAAAATAATAAATATATATAATGTTATGAGATTTAAGTTATTTCATCTAAACATTTACATTTTTGTTATAATCTGTGTTCATTCTAGAATGAAAGAGGCATAAGTTATGTTTATTTTCTAATTTTTTATGGTGGTGCGAGATTGTTCAAATCTACCAAACCTGTACAGAGATTATATTTTATCTGTTATTTTCAGTAATTAAAGTTTTTCTTAAAAAATGTTTGATAACTATCCGGACATTATAAAGATTTCGCATTTGAAATTTCAAAATCTTTTGATGCATAAAGTATTTTTAATCATAAAGTGAAAATTACTTTGCATGATAGATAGGCAAGATGTGAAAAGAAAAAAACAAGGCAAGAAAGAAACATTGCTTTACAAACCTTACAACTTAAAAAAAAGAAAAAAAAAAGAGATATTTTGCATATGAAAACATTGTAATGTTTACTGATAATCTGTAAACTTTAATGATATGAAACAATGAAAAAAGCATTCTATATGTAACTTATTTTACAAAGAACAATCCCAAATAATTGTATAAAACAAACCTCTTTTATCTTTGCTTTTTTGAGACTCTCTATTAACACATTTGGGACAAATATATGACACAAATAACCAATCAGAAGCTCAGAATGTCCCCTTGTGACTTTCTCAGCCATTTTAACAGACTTGATGCCATTTCTGTCTTTTGAACCAATATTTCAATGAGGTAGGGTGTGTCTTTAGTCTGCTCAAAATTTCATATATTTTTAGACTAAAATGCATCTTAAATATGGTATTAATGTAGTAATTTATGATTTTTTTGCTATTCAAATGTATATATAAAACCTCCACGTGCAAAATTTTTAGAGGCTTAGCAACCTACACCAAGCAGTATCTGAGTACAAAGGTTGTAACTAGAAGATATAATTGTTTGTTTTACTTCTATATTTACTGTTATATGTTTTAGGAAAAATAACTTTAAGAACTTATTTCAAGGTAGCATTAATCTATATACATATATAATTATATAATAAATGAAATATGACTGTATTTTACAAAATACTAGAAGTGTATATAAGAGAGCATTTCTAAAAATGGAAAGAGGTGGGTGGGGTACCACTGTGTTTGATTTATTACATGATCTATTGATCACTGTAAATAGAAAACATAAGACCTTCTTATTTTATATTCTAGCTTGTCCATATCTGTAATTTGAGTTTCTAATTTGTATGACACTACATACTTAGTATTTAGACTTCATGAGCATCTAATCTGAAATAGTGCTGCATTCAACATACCATGTGACACACAAAAATTGATGTTTATCTGTGTTTTATATGTACTTTTAAATTAAGAAATTGAGTAATATATAGTTCTACAATTTGATACCAAACTTATAAGTTCATGAAATAGAAGATCAATAAAAATTTTGAATGCGAGTCAACAAACGAGATGACATGGCCTTTCACCTGTGACCTGTCTTGAAAGGGTTAATGTGATAGGTTTGCATAAATGGATAAGCTGTCAAATGAATGGTTTGAGTTTGGCAGCCATCTGATGTTGGTTGAAAGTGACATTTATTACTGCAGTTAACATAGTTTCTTTACTAATCACCCATACTCTGTAGACTTTGGCAAATGGTGCATGTGCACACTGTCCCATACTCTGTAGACCTGCTTGGTGAATGATTCATGTGGATGCTGTTTCCCATTTGCTAGATTTTCTAATACCAAATAAGTTTAGGCTTAGCACTGCTTTCATTGTTATATTTAATTCATATAAGGAATTTATATTTTATTAATGTTCCATTCAATATATTAATTAGTTTACCAAAACTATTGCATTGTGCAAATGCTGGAAGAATATTAGTTATTTTTATGAAGAGGTGACTTTGCTTTATTATTTAATTCTTCATAAATTCAGTAACAACAACAACAGATAAATTGTCTCAGTTTTTGTTGTTATACAAGGCAACAATCTATAATTACTTGTGTGTATATATATTGCATGGAAACTATGACTAGCATTAAAGGATAATTTGCTAGTACAATTTCTTGTTGAAAATTGGTTTTACTAATGCTCAAATTTAGATGCAAAGACAGAGGATGCTAACATTCAGTTCACTAATGTTACTGATAAGTAATTTTCAAACATATAAAGTTATTGTGACAATAACTTAGGAATAGAGTTAGCTATAAAATTGAATTTCCCTGAGGGAGCATTGTGGAATGTTCCTGCTCCATTTACCGTATTGCCCCAATTATAGGGCAATCTCGAATATAAGGTGACCCCCATTTTCAGAAACCATGGGCAAAAAAATAATAAAAAATTAAATGTCATAACATTTTAATTAAAAATATACAATAAATTTTTTCCACAGTAAATTCAAACAAATTGTAGAATTGCATTAAAAAGTTCAGTCTTCTATTTCTGTCTCACATTATTTTCAGTTGCACAAAATTTTCTAGCAGTAGTACAATTGTTCATATTTTCTGCCTCGTAATTTTACGATTTGCATCACAACTCTGTCGTAATCCTTTGTTAATCTGACACTTTCTTGTTCCCTGTCTTTCAGTGTGATCACTTATTTTTGCACAAGGGTTTATCACTAAAATGAGACTCCCAGACAACAGTTATTAAAAAATTTAAAATGAGCACAGTCAAAGCAATAATGGACCAGCAAAATCAGTACTATAACTGAACAGCCTGCAGGTGGATTAGTTGCAAGAATTAGCAATGACTTTGAGCGAACATCTGTCATGCATGTGAGGACGGATGCTATCTAAACATTCAGGAATGCAACAGGCTAGAGTAGGGGGAAGGGGCCTATGGTTGGCCACGATTATAAGGCAACTGAATTTTACAGCCTAATTATCAATAGAAAAACATTGCCTTATAATCAGGCCAATACAGTAATTTTCCTTTTTTTTTTGGCTTTGATCATGGTTTATGGTGTTTGTTTCATTATTCAGGTAGTTATCAAACCCGAACTAGTGTGCTGGTTGTAAAAGAAAATATTCGAGAAACCAGAAACCATTCCAAGAAAATTAATGAAGAAAGAAAGTCCAATATAATAAAAAAAAAAAGCAAAACGGATACATCAGGGAAAAGTCATGGTAAGGCTATTTTTAAAGAAAAAAAGATACAGATGGAAGATACTTGATTAAAAGATAAATGTTACAATAGTTTTCGTTTGTTTACAATAGTCTGACTTAATTGTAAAAATAAAACAGGATAATAAAATGTTTTTAGTATTTCAGTTGTTTCCAAATATTTATCTTTACATAAAAATATAGCTTTTCTTTTATGTAAATACAGAATAGATACATTGTTCTGAAATGAGTACCTATGACAAGCAGACACTCAGGATGTTAAATACAACAGAATCATAGTTTATTGTATTGTAGCTGGGATGTAATATCTAGAAACGTTTATAATTAATACGGTATGACTATTCAAATAATTATAATAAATGTTACAACTGCACAGACAAAACAAACCCACATACTATGACCAGGAATATTATACCCATTATACATTTATATTTTGTTCAATACTGCAAAAAATAAATGTATGATAAAATGGCAAGAAAATTACAAAAATATAAACAATGATATGTCTGAAGTTTTATTATGTTAAAAACTGGATTTTGATACCCATGGTAAGCACAGCACAGATAGCACTTGTGTAGTTTTGTGCTTAATAACAAACAAACAAAACTTAATTTTCAACATACAAAGAAATCAGGATTGAGTTCATTGAGTAAAAAAAAATGTTACCTGTCTAATACCTTTAAGGCCAGCAAAACTCTTCAAAACCAGACCTGTATGAATGCACTAAAGTCTTACTTTATAGAAAGTAGGCCAAATTTGATAATGCTTTACAAGTACTCTCATTTAGTACATTGAATTACAAGGCAAGTTTTTAGCATTTTGAATTTATTTGATACTATCTATCATAATTTTTGAGCAACAAAAACATTTTGAAGTGTGAATTTTATCTTTTACATCTACCTTTACAAGGTATGATATGTATAAAATAACACGCTTTCATTTCTAAAATTAGTGTAGGATTATTTGTAGTTATATGAAGTAGAAATCACTTTAAAGAGGTTGAGGTTTCTGTCCGAATATTTTTATTGAATTAAGTGCAGTATTGTTAGATACCACAATACTTATGGTGAGGTAATTCTAAATACGTTGATCCAATCATTAGGTAATGTTATATACAATTAACAGGACTATATTATTCAGTCTATGGGCAAAAGGCTCATTTTTTGATTTTTCAAATAATATGTAAATTAATTCATCATTAGACAAATGTTTTATGAAAGTGTCAGGATTAAGAAACTAACAGTTGCTTCTCAACCTTTATATAATTGGTGATTGACAAGTATTAAGAATATTAATTTGTAATTTAAAAGCATAAGTTTGAATATCAGGCAGGCAGTAGCAATGCCTATATAGGGATAGCATGGATTGTTCATAGAAATGGTATTTTAAATATCTCCTCAATAGGTCATTAGAACATTACAATACTGTACAGTGTTGCTTTTTATAACAATATCTACGTAATGAATGAGTTGTAAGTTCTGGGAATGTCTGTAAATATCATAGCAAAAAGTTAAAATTTCTTGTTCTTCTTTTTTATTACATAACTCAAGAACCAAAACATTGGTATCAACCAATTTCATTGAGGTGACATAGTTTCAAACGGAGTATCCACTTTTAAAAGTATTATTAATAACTAGTAGTAATTTTTAAAAACAATCATAATTTTAGTGTAAATGATGTCATCATATGATGTGAATGCCATCCCTACATTTACTTTCTTTTTTGAAAAGTTCTCATTTTGGCAAAAAATTTCTTAATCTCCCCTCACTTGCTGTAGACACCAAGTTTTATATAGTTTTTTGCTATTTTTGAAAAAAGTGTGCTGAGCTATTCAGAACATACACCTGATCTATAAACAATTCCATTAGGTTAATATTTTGTTTAACTCTTTCAATATGGGGTCGGTCGGTCAATGTGACTACCTCATAACCATTTTGTGCTTGTTAGTTTTCATGCTATAAGTTTTAAATTAGTAAGCGAATGTTAACAAAATTTGGCAGATTATCAGTAAACATTACAATGCTTTCATACGCAAAATATCTAATTATTTTATTAAGTTGTAAGGTTTGTAAAGCAATGTTTCTCTCGTGCCTTTTTTTTTTCACATCTTTCCTATCTATTATGCAAAGTAATTTTCATTT